TTTAACTATTTCAGTCCTGTATTTTATAATTTTTTTCACAAATTTTCATCTGTACTGAACTAGAGTAAGTGCAGATGTTGTGTATCAATTATGAGACACTCAATACATATTAAATACACGTACCTATTGAGTCATACTCCGTGGGTGGGTATAATTGTCTGAAGTTAATACTTATTACGCTATTTTGAATATTAATAACATGTTGTTTTCTCCGTTACCTACTGACATTTATCATAGTTGTACCACCCTGTTGTAAAAGTAGATTGGTCAAACCAGTAACTCAGTAATAAACCAGTCCAATATTTTAATTGAAATTTTCATATCCTATGAAAATAGTTACTACTGTAATCATTATGTCACTGCGGAAAATAAATTTTTCCAAGACTAGTTATGTACACTTTTTAAGAATCCAGATCTGTTCTAATTGATAGCATGCAGTACTTACTAGTACTGAATGTCAAAAACTTTAATTTGAACGTCACATAAGATCATATAGTGCTGGAAATAATTACAATTTTCTACAATTTTCTACAATTATATGATTGTGAAGCCTTTGTTGTTTTAGCTAGCCAAATTGTGTTACAACTTCACTTTTGGGTTGGACATTGTGTACAGGGGGATGTCTGGTGAAAGAAATGTCCTTGACAGCATTGATCAGTTATCCATCCAGATGTACATCAACAACCATCGGAGGGAGAAGAAGATGCCTGACGACATCGTGTCGCTCCTCCAGCATCCTGATGACCACGAGGCGTCGTTTGAGAAACACAGGGAAGACCAGGACCAAACATGGCTGCCCCTGACTAACATCACAGCTGAGGAGGAAGTCCCCATGTTGGACAATCAACACGCTATCTTGGACCTGGATCAGGTTCTTCTTCACCATATACAAAATTCCTTTTGTATTCATTCACACTGACTATCCTCATTTACACTGGTCCTGTCACTGGTACTGAATATACATGTACATTCACACTGACTATCCTCCTAGTGACTTCACACTGGTCCTGTCCCTGGTGCTGAACTTACATTCACACTATCCTTCTATTCACTTCACACTGGTCCTGTCCCTGAACTTACATTCACACTGACTATCCTCCTAGTGACTTCACACTGGTCCTGTCCCTGAACTTACATTCACACTGACTATCCTCCTAGTGACTTCACACTGGTCCTGTCCCTGTCCTGAACTTCCATTCACACTGACTATCCTACTAGTGACTTCACACTGGTCCTGTCCCTGGTGCTGAACTTCCATTCACACTGACTATCCTCCTAGTGACTTCACACTGGTCCTGTCCCTGGTGCTGAACTTACATTCACACTGACTATCCTTCTAGTGACTTCACACTGGTCCTGTCCCTGGTGCTGAACTTCCATTCACACTGACTATCCTCCTAGTGACTTCACACTGGTCCTGTCCGTGGTGCTGAATATACATTCACACTGACTATCCTCCTAGTGACTTCACACTGGTCCTGTCCCTGAACTTCCATTCACACTGACTATCCTTCTAGTGACTTCACACTGGTCCTGTCCCTGGTGCTGAACTTCCATTCACACTGACTATCCTCCTAGTGACTTCACACTGGTCCTGTCCCTGGTGCTGAACTTCCATTCACACTGACTATCCTTCTAGTGACTTCACACTGGTCCTGTCCCTGGTGCTGAACTTCCATTCACACTGACTATCCTCCTAGTGACTATACACTGGTCCTGTCCCTCGTCCTGAATATACATTCACACTGATCTTCCTCCTAGTGACTTCACTCTTGTTCAATGGTCATTCAATTCTGCCTAGGAGACTGCATTACCCCACACTTGTGTATTCTTGCTTGCAATACCAAATACATGTATTTCTGCTTGCAATATCAAATGACTGCACCGCTGATGTTTGTTCAAAATGGTCACAAATTAAATGCAATTTTTATATTTTTGTCACAGCCCAACATTGCAGAAACAGTGGAAAATGACCCCATAAGATTTGAAGAAAAGGTAAGATTCAATGTTACTTCACTTACAATGTACCTTTTCATCAACATTATAATTCCTTATGACAGGGAAAACCTACAGTTCCGTAGAAAATCAACACTGAGTCTTATAATCATCATAATTGTATTGCTGTGTTGAAAGTTTGGAATAGTATGTACATGTAAGTGGAGCTTGCCAATCTCTCTGTTGATTGGGATTTACATGCATCTTCTGTGCACAAGATACTAATAGTTACTGTCTGTGGTGATTCTGGTACCCTCCATAGTCTGCATATTACATGATTGTTGAAATATTATACATAGAAAAATTGTTATGATTATGTTACTAGGTACCAAGAGGCACTGAAGCATAGTAATTTCAGTTTTCTTCTTTCTCTCCCCAGCGTCACCGTTCTGTAGCTAACTCCTATACTTTTATCATTTAGTCGCCATGCTAATTTTGCAATGAATAATTATAAGTCTGAAGCATTTAGATTTAGTTGTGTTTGACTTACATACAATAGTACACTCACACAGTCAGCATACTTTAACATATGATATGTCAAGACATTTTAGAACCTGTTTGTTGCACATGTATATGCTGGTGCCATCTCTAATTGCTTGTGACAGTATTGCATTCACTCACAGTTGCATCTGCATGGCACTTTTCCATGGGCAAGCAAAGTTTCAACTAAAATACTTTTACATTCAAGAGGTGTTAGATGATTTTTGAATACAGTTGTTTATCAGAAAATGCTGGTTGAAACACAGTGTGTTCTGTTGTAGTGCAATTTTTAGTTTTGCCAAAGATTGAAGTTAAAGAAGAGAAAGATCGTTTCAAAATCACTTGTAACAAACCTTGCATATCAAACTTTTCCTGCCCTTGTGTCCAAATTAATCATTTTAACACCATCAGCATTGGGTGTGATAACCAAATAACCATTTCTATTCTAACACCACTTGCATGCTTGCACACACTACATAACGGAAAAACCCTGACCGCTACGCTAGTTTGTGGCCCCGTTTCTTGGCGCCATGAATCCAGCGGATAAAGAAGAATTCTACGACTCGGTTGCGAAGGACCCCAAAGCGTTCTTGTGCGCGTACATGAAGATGCGGGACTTCCTGAAACCCGTAGAGTTTGATCCGAAGCAGGTAGCTTGACGGTGGCGGCATGGTGAAGGGGTTCCTTTTGGTTCTAACATGTCTTGGTGATGGGGCAAAATTCATGTAACATTAATGTTTCTGGCTGTTATGGACGATAAGTCAAAGGGACCACGTATTACTGAACACAATGTAGATGAACACGTACATGAACACACAGAATATTTCTATCAATTCAGGATCAGGATACACATTTTATACATTATACAGTCAATTACACTATCTTTTGCACTAGACTAAAGTCTATTATAATTTTCAAGGTGCTATTGTGTTCAAAAGTGCAAACATATAATCTTTACCTGTTTGAACACTATAGCAGCTTGATTTGTGAATATGCCAAACTGACAAAACAATATACTGTAAAAAAGTTACTTGTACTAGTACCCTCAAGTTGCCATTTTCAAATGATAATATATCCTACTTTTCTGAGTAACAAATTTCGTAAACTAGGGTGACTGTCATATACATGTAACTTATGAATATTCCAGCATGGCTATTGCATTGCATGTTTTATACATCATAGGTTGAAATTTATGTCATGCAAGCTAAGTGCAATTTGTTTTCCAATGATGATGTTCAATTGTTTCAGTTTGGAGGACACAGTGACACCACAGACAATAACTCGGACGGTGCCACGCCGGAGAGTCAGGAGCCCCCCTCCCACCCCCCACGTGCCATCATTAAGGTGGAGACCATCTCTTCTTCTGACAGTGAATCACCTGATGACTCAGACCTGGAGGTAGGTGTTGAAACAAAAGTGTGGTTTATATTTTAGCGATTCTTACTGTAGGTTTCTTAAATTTTCTAGAAGTGCCAGCCAAAGCAGGGGATCTTTTATAAAACAAGGAAAAAGAGATGTTTTTTCTTAGATGTGTTTGAGTATGTCAATTTGGGTCATTGAGCCTGAAATAAACAACAAACGTAAAACGTATTGAAAAACTTATAAGAAGGCATTTTAAAATCATGTTTGTCATTCTTGTCCTAATATAACTCTTGTGGTTTGTCTAATGCTTCAAAGGCTGTGTCTCAGACAAGTGTTTCTAGCAGTTTTGCTAACATTGAAGTTTTCTGCATTTTTACTCTGGAGAAATTGCAGCCTGTATTTTGAGCTCTGATATACATGTTGGAGTGTCTGTCTGCACTTACACACACACACACACATGCATACATGTAACTTTTCTATCCTCCCTCCCTTCATGCTGCTTGTGTTTGTGCGCTGAAGAGTGTCAGGAGTTGGGAAATTGAGGACAGTGAGGTAGGCTTGTTGTATCCTGTAAACCCTGCCCTGGATGTAATAGTACCAGGGAGCCAGGTATTTCTGGGCTCTGTGAACCCAGAACAAGATGATGATGAGGGATCAGGTTTGAGCAGGGCTGAGTCAGCTGCCCAATCCCATGACTTTGAGGTTGGTCCCTTTTTGCCAACTCTTCCAGTGCAGAGCAAGTTGATGTAATCTTATGGTAATAACATGTGTTTAGGTGTTGGAGGGGTTCGTCACTCCCAGGCTCATTGATTTTTAAAGATTGGAGACTTGAACAATTGCAAGTACACGTTTTAGCTAGCTTTCTGTACAATGTCCTTGGTTTTAGCAAGGTGATGAAAGCTTCTTGGTTTTAGAGATCAGAAACTTTAAGTCAACACCAAGGCATAGATTTGTACAGTTGAGTCATTTAGCTAGAAAATAACCCTCAAATTCTTAACCAAGCCCTGCATACATGTATGTGTTTTTTTCTGTTTGTCTGCTTTGTTGTATTAATAACAAATCTTTCTGTACTTTGAATTAATGCTTTCCATGGATTGAACTTCCGAGTAAGTGTTCTCAGGATATATAGTTTACACACTCGATTGGACACTATTGTAAAGGGCTTTGTATCTACATAATGCAAGGTTGTGAAATTCACGTCTAGTGCCAGTGGTAGCTTTTTCCTTTGCTCTTATTTCTGGTGATGTGTTTGCATGTCCTATCGCTGTGTAGCTTTTTCTGTGCCCAAGAGCTGACTGCACAGCTCAAGTCCCAGGCACGATCACTTCTGTCCAAAATAGAATGATTTTCAACATGTGTGTAGTTACATTTCTAGTTGATATATGACAGTGCACTATATATATATAATAAAGTGTGCTGCACTAACTAAATATGATGCAACTGTATCTACTGTATAGAGAATTAGAGAAGATTTAAAACATAGCAAAATTTTAGTTATCAGCAACATGTATTCTTGTACATATACATAACAATATTGACACATTCTGTCATGTCTGTAAGTCCATACAGTAGGCATGGGACGTAAACATTAAATCACCATTCATTCATACTCGCAATGTCATTTAAACATTAGATCTACAGTAAGATGAGAAAAACATTTTAAAAACTATATACAGAAGTGTCTCAATGTTGCAATCATGTAACAGTTTTCTCTACACTCTAACTTTGGCAAGTACATATGAGGCTGGCAAAAGAGAAGAAAGTAGCAGCAAATAATATTATCATAAAAATATGATAAATATCCGTTCTAATAATCAGAGCCTTTTCAAACCTTTAGAATCTTTTTTGTCTTTAGTGACAAATCATTACAAAGTTAGTTATGACGAATGATTAAGATTACCGCTGTTTTTTCTTCTGTACTTATACTATGCTAACCTTGGATTTCACTGTCGGTTGCAAGCTACAGGTATGTATAAAATATCTATCAATACTAAAAGTCTGTGGAAGGTATGAAAATTAGGATAAACATTCAGGAGTTGCCAATACCAAAATATAACATTTTCTAAATAATCTGGAAGACTTATACATGGAGTACATAAAATCTAACAGGGTTGTCATAAAAAAATCAACACTTCTTATAACACATTGTTTAAAAATTAAGCAGTCTAAATACAATTGACTATCCAGTTTTGTTTACGATTGTGACTATTACATGTAGCATGTAGAAATTCTATCACACATTGCACAAATTCTGACAAAACAATACCATTACTCTACATACATGTTCATGTATACATACACTAACACTTCTCAGACCATCATACAAAATTCACCATTTGCTGCACATAATCAGTAGTTCCCTGGGATCCCTTACAATCCTAGATTGCACTTTTCTTCATCAGACAAAAACAAACACTGAGCTCACATGAATTTTTACACCATGTACAATTATAAGCAACAGACAATAAGTATTACATTTCGTTGTATACTAAATAAAACATTCAATTTGCCTAAGCCAGATAGAACTGTTCTCAATCCACATGACTGGTTGTCTGCAAGTTAACCACTGATTTTAGTCAATGTAGGATTTTGTCAGTTTCCCCTATTTATATGTTACACTCTATATAATGTAGGTGGTTGAGGTCCAAATGTCATGAATAAGCCCATTCATAAATTAACAACATAATTTGGAACAGGTTGATTATTTGCCATAACAGTGATTTTAAAATCTTACAATGCATCATCTGTTCAAGGCTTCTGATTTCACTGACATTTGATATTGCAAAAAGGCATTTAGTACTAACTTTCAACATAGGACACAAATGTCAATGTACAATGTCATGTTTGAGTTAAGCACTGTGCAATACATGTACCAGGGCTGGTTACTCGGATGCTGGATTCAAAGAGGCACATTTTGTGGCATACATTAGTACATGGCAGTACAACAAATTTACGAGCTACTGACTACACCACAATGAAGTACATTGGCCAAACTATTTTTGAATCAGTATCAATCAGAAAATATTTAGCGTATAGTGCTTGTGTGCTGCATGGCGTGTCATGAATTCCACATGATATCTAGGTATAATGATTGTTATGATCATAACAATCTCCTACTATGTAATTTGATAGCAATGCTGCATGGCATCCCATTTTAAGTGTGATCAAGTACATGTAGTTTGTTGTAGGTAGCACTGGTACAGTTTATATAATAACTTACAATCATCAGATCATACCAATTCAACTTCCTGGATTTGAAAAAAAAATTCTACATGTCAACATATGGAGGGAAAGTATGCACCTTGGTGCACCAAGTTTCACAGAGTGAGTAAAGGCATAGTCTTTTTTTTTTCGTCTCTTGCTAAAAAAACCTTAAAAGGATCCAAAGAAATGGATTGGTCTGACCTTAATTGTATGCAACATGAATGTGCAAGAATCTACCAACAACACTGATTAAAATATTTAATATCTAAGGCCCCTTTCAACTAGATGGCAATTGCTGAGCTACCGTTGATGAGCAACCAAAATTGGTTATATGACGCATGATGCAAAAGATATGATTTAAAACATACAAAAAACAAAAAAGGTTTTAACAAATTGATATCTACGAAGGTCAATGACCAATCTTTTAAATTTTTGGGTCACTCATCGGTTGCTTAACAATTGCAGCCTCTATTTACAGGGCTCGAAATACTGGGTACATGTGCTCCTTAGTGCAGTTAAAATTGATACCCAAAAAGGTATTTCGAGACCTGACTTAAAAGGGGGTGTAAGTAATACTCCTGAGGGTGTGAACAGTCATTTTTCCCCAAACCTGTTTCATCAGGCCAGGTGCTGGCTGTCCTTCAGTTTCTGCTTGAGGTTTTCTGTGGTTAGGTTGTGTCTGGTCACAATGCCTACGATCTGAAAACACAGTCAACAAATTAAATAATAGGGAGTTAGACAATTAGTGGCAAGGTGGCCTGTAGCTAGGATGGTTGAGTAACCAGAGAATCAAAAGGTTCTGGGATCGAATCCCGAGGCCCTGGCAGGTCACACAATGTTGTGCATTTCGAAATTAAAGCAATTTCCTCACTTGGTTGGGAATGTCCTCTTAGATGGGAGGTACTTTCTCCAAGCAGACATTTTTTGGAGGCTGCAAAGACATTATCAAATTGGCCAGGCAGAATCCATTTGCCAGACAGTTACCGGTACCATTTTACCCAAGGTCAATATTAATGGATACAGCCTGACCAATTTGATACTGTCTTGCCAATTTGATACTGTCTTTGCAGCCACCAAAAGATCTGCTTGGAGACTACACTTAATCATCTCTCTGTTAAAATAGCTTTTGGATTAAATTTTATAGTTTAAGTATTGAAAGTCTATCAGTATTTAACAGAACAGTGGCCAATCACAATGGTTAGGATACCGATATATGATATTAAGGAAAAAAAACACTTTATTTATTTCTGCAGTGGGATTTTGAAGGAGTTACAGATGAGGGGACTTGGGAGGTGGGACGATCGCAGAGAACAACCGAAGTAGAAACTGACGCATTCATCCCTCCAGACACTACCTTGGAGCCAAACCTTTTGGACAAGGATGACTACTGGTTTGAGGATGAACTTAAGAAGGACATGCAGGGGACTCAGGAGGAGGACTTGTTAAGACATTTGCAGCAGGAGCTGGACAGAAGTGTCAAAGATGCAGAGAGGCTCTTAAAGAAGTCGTAGTGGTGCCTTAAGATTTAGATATGATACCAGAGAAACTTAAACTATACTGAGTAGTTTGTGCCCATGTCTTCTCAATTCAAAAGTTCTCATTAAAAGTCAGTAACATCAAACGTTGTCCAGAGAACTATTGTTGCCAAGTTGAAAATTATAGTTTTCACTATGAATAATGATTCATTGTAACAGTTGTTTTGCATAATTTCATTTAAGGACTTTCTAGATCATGACGTTTCTTATTATAATTATGCTTTTAAATCATGATGACCATTGCAATCTCAAATTTACTGCACTGAAGAAACTAAAGCTGATAAAACCAATAACTGCAATATTTCAGGCATATCCTGAAGACCAGTTTAACCTACACCATCAGAGGAGTGGTGTCTAAACTAAGATAAGAAGTGTTTGTAGGTCCTATTCAAGTAAATAGTCCTCCTTCTGTTTATAGATGCTTTCACTTTATAACAAACTTGATGTTATTTTTGGCTCACAGTTGCTTGAATTATGTTGTACATATTATCATCACTGTGACATTATTAATATGATGAGGTTTCGTGTTTACTTAATATAATTTTGTGAAGTTTATATGATGCAATACTGCACCTTTTCATTCCAGCAATATTCCACCAGCAATACTGACAGACAATGAACATTTTCAGCGTTTGTAAAGAAATGATTTGAAATGTATACTGAAGAATGAAGATGTTAATATAATACGTGTGTGCGTGTATTTAGGTAGTACAGTGAAATATTTAACGTTAAAGTTTAAGCCAAGGAGTTTATGCTGTATGCAATAGGCCTTACTGAAATAAACAGCAAGAAAAGTGTGAGACATTTTGTTCTTGTTCTGGAATTGCAAGTTAGTATAAAACTGCTTCTTCTGCCTTTTCCCTATTGAAGTAGCCAATTTATATTTATGGGGTTAGGCAGGAGGTTATGCAATACAAAAAAAACTAGAAAAGTAACCTTTGCAAAGCAAATGCATAATGTTTACCTTCACTTGTGCAAGCTTATCAAACTACTGGTCTGTTAATCATTACTCAAAGACAAATTGTAACGGTTACCCAACACCACAGGGTGTCTGCTACAGCACTAGTTAACATGGGGACAGATGTATGGTCCAGGTCATTGACCTTATTTATTTGCAGAAGAAGAGGAGGAAGAAACTGAGCAAAAAAAAGGTAAACATAGTAAACTTTGCAACTTAAATGTTGCTAATGTGTTGTGTTTCTCACCTCTCCCATGTCATTGGTGACAGGCAGGTGTCTGAGGCCCATGGTGCGGAAGAGTTTGAACACCTGGGGGACAGGTGTGTTAGGAGACACTGTGTAGGGACAGGGGTTCATGTACGGGGTCACATCCTGGAAAATAAAAACAAAAACACATCATTATAATATTGCAGTCTGGTTTCAATTGTTTATAGGTGTAGGCAAACCTTAGCCTGGGTACCATCCCCAGTAGTATATTCGCAAACTCTATAACCAGTTATAGAGTTTGCGAATATACTACTGGGGATGGTACCCAGGCTAGGCAAACCTTGTATGTACTGTACAATCATGTACATGGACAAAGGTTATTGTTAGAAGACTTTATTGGGGGCAAGGGTCTGTGTAACATCACATACTGTAAATAACTTTATATTTGCATATTCGCAGGTTTCGCAGTCACTTCTGTACCGCGAATTTATCATTACCACAAACAAATTTCATCTGCACCTGCCACCAATACGAACATACACTGTCTAATACTCTAGTTCTGCAAACATGTCCATTTTCTCAGAACGCGAAAGTGATTTTGAGTTTACTGATTTAGTGATAATGAAAAAAACAACTCAAACTCAGCAGCACATCATTACAGATTGGTCTGTAAGTCCTCAATGATCAAGAAGCATTAAAAAAAATTCTTTTTTGGAGTTATGTGTTAATGCATCTCATAACCTACATGCACAGTAAAGTCAGTTCTGACTTATGCAAGAGTCTGGTTCTAGGGAAAACATAACTAGGGAAAAACCATTATCATTCTGGGGTGGAGCTGAGTGAGGCAATTAGGGACTAACCATGATCATCCTGGGGTGGAGTTGAGTGAGGTCTACATCATGAATGTCCAGCCAACGAGGGTAATCTTCTGTTAGCTCCTCATATGTCAATGTTGGCTGGCAAGAACTCTGAAAAAAAAAACAGACATCATTTGAGCACATTATTTATAGGCTATGACTTTTACTTGATTGAAAAGGAGTTACTGACTTGCTGGCCAGAACTCTGCTGCAATACAGTCACTGTAATAGTCACATTATGATACTTAAATTTCTTGCCAAATCGAATGTCTTATACACAGGTTAAAAGGTAATGAGACTCAAACTGGCATAACCATCATTGGTTTGGATATGCCTGGTATCTGTCCATTTCTATAGTCAGCCATAATAAGACTAAAAGAACCTAATAGATGCAATTACATGACAACAACATCAAAAGAAGTACAGAAATATGGGATGGTTGTTTAGAAGTAAGTGGTATTCTCTACATAGATCAGGAATGGACTTTTATGATATGTAGGCTTTTAAAATGGATAGATACATGATTTCCCCAACATGTAATACTAATAGAGAGTTAAAAGATCAAGAAAGATAGAAGAGTGCCTACGGGTGTGTTTTCTGCGTAACAGACTCCCCTGGACAGGAGACTGATGAGCTGATGTCTGAGGATGAGCCCGTGGAAGGTCAGAGGTTTGAACTTCTCCCCAAACCCGTGGTCCTCTGCTGTAGGGCTCAGCCCGCGGTATAACTCAACACTGCAGAATAACAGAAGGGTTACGCAATCAAAGATGAGGATACCTCTAATGTTTACTTTGTCTTAAACCAACTTCTTCCATTCTGTAATGTAGCAATCTCATTTTTGTGCATGACGATTATGATTATGATTATGATTTATACTTAAATGTGTATGTCAGCTTGAGAAACATAGCAAAAAGAAAAATTTCTTTAATGATTTCTTTACATTGTAATCAATGCAGTTATTTGCAGATTAGTTCCTGCTGCCCGTGTGGTTATTGATGAATTTCATCACTAATTGATTTGTTTTGATAAGTTAATATTAACTTGCTGGTTAACTTGCTAGTCATGAGTTAAGTCAATATCCTTTTCAGCATTCCTGCTGTTCATGTGATTATTGACAAATTTCATCACTAATAAGTTGCACTGGTGAGTCATTATTAACTTGCTGGTTACCTGCTATAAGTTACTATCAACTCGCTGGTTACCTGCTGGTCATGAGAGTGAAGTTGATGTCCTCCTCAGCGTTCCTGCTGTCCATACTCCCACTGCGGGATCTCTGCTCCTGATCCTCCAGGATCTTTATCTCAGCTGACCGTCGGGACATGATCCGACGCATCTGCTCATTCGCTCGCGTCAGGCTGTTCTCGTTCTGGGTAAGATTTGTCAGAAAATAAGACAAGGCCTTTACTGTGTTACTTGTGTACTCACACAGTGTAGTGCAGCTTCCTTGAGAGTTTTTGTTATTTGCTCATGCCACAATTTGTTAAGTACATTTGAACTGCAGAAGAACAATTATTTCCCTATGATTAGCCTTGTATTTTTAATCCGAACTAAAGAAGACCACTCACCCTGAACTTGATGTTGTTGCTGACCATGGTGTTGGCCTTTGGCGCGCGCCCGTCTCTCCACCATGCTGTCGTGGTTCTCGGTGACGACGGGGTAGGCGTGGTGGCGCGTGGTGCGCAGGATACTGACCAGGGACTGGATGCGCGTGTGCGGGTAGATGTACGACAGAGACGTCTCCATGATGTCTGACGCGCATAATCTGAAAAGAACAGGACATAAAATATGAATTCTTTAACAAGTTTACTTATGCAATTTGATTTGTTGCTTCTTGGATTTTTTTAGAAAACATTTGAACTGAAAGGAAAAAAAATGCCATGATAGCCCCAAATGTTACAATAGGAGCTATTACACAACAAACCACTACACTGTTGGATGAAAAAACAGTAACAACTAGGAAGACAAGGATCTTTCTTCAATTGTCCCTGTCCTTGGTGCTGAAATGCATGTACACCACAGTTGTTCTACATGTTGTGACCTTCAATGGAAAATAAAAGAAATGCTGGCTATATCATCATTATAATACATCTTGACATAAGGCTGAGATAGTTTCCCTACCTGTCCATGCCATGAGGTGGGTGCCACTCTAACAGAGGAACTCCCTTCAGCTCTATATGGATGTCATACAGGCCATGGTTGAACAAGTCACCTGTAAACTTGGCCACCTGGGAAAAGACAGAGGCTACCTTCGCTTGAAATGATATTTTTTAATGTTTTGCTTGGAATGATATTTTCTTTTTGGTCTAAGATGACAGTCTATACCACTTCATGCATGTACATGCACGCATGTGGAAATAAATTGAGAATCACAGACATGGATACATATACATGTATGTATAACTTGCAGTTTTGCAACCTAAAAAGTTCACAGTACTAGAATAATTTTTATTTATTATTAGGTAGCCAATCTTGTAGTTCTTGTTGTCATCTCCCATAATTATATGACCATATGCCTCGAGTATTTGCAGTGACAGATTTTATGAGTTGCAGATCACGATGAAATTTATGAAAACTTGCGACGTGTCACACATACCATAAGCACGATCATGATGGGCAGTCCATAGCTGATCTCATTGGTGGATTCTATCAGGATGACTGTGAGGCTTATTGTCATGCGAACCACTCCACCAAGGAACGCGGCCGCTCCAATCAGAGAGAAGGTTCCAGAATAAATATGCTCGAACCCTGGAAGCCTGGAACCGTAGCAAACATTTCAGTTAGTTAGAATAACCTTTATTGTACATACATTGGGTTTAATACAGGTCATCACAAAAGAGCAGTGTATCACTCTGTAATACAGACTATATATATATGTACATGTACATGTACATGTGCATGTCACACTCTATGATACATCTATCTATGTCATATCTGGACCATGATAATTAACATTCGATATGGTGTTCTGGACCACGTCCAAGTTATCACGCATCTAACAGTTATCACACAAAACTAAACTTCATACTTCCAAAAGTTCCATAGAATAAATTGAATGTCATACAGTCTATAAAGATGTTAGAATAGACATCTTTTGCATTGCTTACTGGTTATAAACAAGTATAAGGACGCATTGTCTACAAAGAGCCTGCTACATCCATTTTACATCAGGCCACAACCAAGCACATAAAAGACTTTACATTTTGAGAAGGTTTCCTACGAATCGCCCGTACGCTGCACCACAGAGTAGGGAGGGCACAAACAGCCCTGAGGGAACGGAGGTTCCGTATGTCCAACACGACAGACAGAAGAACAGCAGGAAGAAAATCCCCAGGGACTGTAGGCTGAATGTAGCTGCAAGTCAAACAAGAAATTATCAGACTACAATATACCTAAAAACACCAAAAGTATGTAGCTTATGCATCTGTATAGCTGTATATATATACCCACTCAGCTTGCCTTGTATCATGAACCTGGGTAAAAAAAAATTTGAGCTGGCTAGAGCCCTGGTTACAGGTACATATACTTTGAAATCTTACAATCAAATCTTAGTTACACTGCACTGATGCCTTTATGGTAAGGTTGATTTTGCAGGGAATGAAAATATTGAGAGATCATTCCAAATGTTTATTTTTAAACATTTTAAACCATTTTACAGGTGGTAAGCCATCAGCAGTAGGCGTCCTTCCATCTCAAAAGAATTCCACTCACACTTATAGACATGTACCCGGCCTCGTTTTGCTTGCTGCTCATGCATGCAGCCAGAAAATTACCTAATTTCATGCATCCCCACGAGAGCAGGTGAATACAGAAACAACAGAAGGTATCGCCTGCATGAAAATCATCTCACCTTCTTGATGGAAGAGTTGTCTGATGGAGGTTTCCTGTGTGTTGAAGAACAGAGTGGCCATGTCGTTGTAGGTGCCGTTGGGACAGAAGAAATACTGGACTGTCTGCTCCACCGGGCTGGTCACGTTGATCACGATGGGCGCGACCTCTTTGCACTCTCCCAAGGTCATGGCTGCCGTGAACGCCACGATGGTGGTTACCATGGTAACTAGGAGAACCTCCAGAACCCTGGGACATACAACGGGTAAACAAGTTTGTTAATAAATTGAAAATACATGAACCTTAATAAGTAACAATTGTTTGAGAATACTACTTACCCTCAATACATTGTATCTTAAGATCGCCATAGAGCAGCAAAACTAGTCCGAATAAGGCAATCTTCATGATACACATACTGCTTCACATTAGCACATTTCTACCAGTATTCCATACTTTGAGTACTTAAAACTGCAGAAACAATCCCCAAGATGAGTCCTTTATTTTATGGGTGGTACCCTAAAAAGTCAGTGGTCCTTCCAGTAACCATTTTGGATATTTTTGCTCCATGAGGGTCAATGGCAATATACAACAATGCATAGAAAGGCAGTGCAAGTTAACAATATAATGGTGACGAGAGGAACAAGACTAGTGAATATTCTATGAACTGCTAGTATATACGCCTTGATATAACAGTAACACTATACCTGATGGCAGGATGTCTGTTGTGGACATGCTTCATGCGATGTTTGGTCAGTCTGGTGTTGATGGCATTAAACAGAGCTCCCAGCAGTCCCCCCACTATCCCCATCACTATAAACACAAACAGGTCCAGTACTGTCCACAACTGGCACCCTCGCTCTCCTTCTGGACACTGGTCATAAACAAAAACAAAAACACAAACATCTAGTTAACAGCAGTAAACAATGTCCCAAAGCACTGGACTAGAAAACAGAAAATGCAAAACATACACATCATAATCAATATACATAGCATTGATAATGCCATTTCAAAAGATTATCATGTGTATGTTTTCACATTTAACTTCAAGAGATCAAAGAAAATACACACCATCAACTACAATGTACCTATTGCCAAATATAAACCATTAAATACTGTACCTTAACAGTACTTAGTCTACATGTATATACATTTCTATTGTGTAAGACCAGTATTTTACAATACACACAGTATTTATGAGTACCTTGAACTGTCCGAATGTGAGGAGGCCTGGCTGGTAGAAGCTGCCCCAGGCACTGGAGTCAGCATCAGGGTTCTCTCCCTCAATACGAGTCCCAGACAGGAAGAAGTTTAGGGTGAAGGCTGCTGTCATGGAGCATAGGAACTGCAGGGGGAAAACGTAATTTGTACAATCATATACTAATAGGTTTTCCAATAATAGTGTGCACAGTTGAAGAATACAAAAAAGTATTTAGAGCTCCATGCATTATGGTATACCAAGAAGACTGGAATACCAAACAGGTACTGCAGATATTTTCATTGCAAACAGTTCAAAGCTCATAGGTTTTAGAACTTTTACATCATACACTGAAGTTCAAATTATATCATTAGCTTCTTTAGATCTCAAAAAATCATTGCCTACTGTATTACACCTACAGCAACTTATTGATGTACATCAATCAATCATCACTTACAGTTCTCCAGGTCAGCATCTGGTTCCAGAAAGAGGAACCTTCCTCCAGACTAAACAACACTCCTCCTATAGGAGCTCCAAACGCAGCTGGAGAGAGGACAAATACCCTGTCTCTTATCATGGAAAAACCAAGGATTCATATGGGAGGACTTACAGTAAGCTTTTGCATTTAGCTTTTGCAGATATTTTTATTTTCCTGATATGGAAGTGTGAAAAATATTGTATTGACCTTATAATGAGGAGTTGACATGCACATGCATTGTTTTTTTTTTATCAGGAGGAAAGTGTGAAATTGTATTATTGTATTCAACATATGAGAGGTTGTCATGTGCACACATGTACATAAGACATCCCTACCTGCCACACCTGCTGCTGCACCACTGGAAGCAAAGTCTCGCTTGTCCCTGGAAATATACAGAGAAAGGGCATTGTTACAATATCTTAGACATACAGCCAGAGGTTTTGTGATAGTCTTATATAAAAGTCACACAATTCACTCCATGATTTCTCTATCAGTATGTATCCTGTTCAGAATCACACAACCAAACAACAAAAAATAAACAAATAACTTGTTACTATGTTGCAGATATAAATTTATCTACTATTACTCATTCCTTGAAACACTTGTAAATATTGCAAAACAATTTTCATGCAATGTAAAAACTTTCAAAAATTATCAAATACCGGGTAAAAACTGCAATGCAATGACACTAACTCTATCAGAACATTTCAATGAAGAAAAAAAATCATCACTCTCAAAACATCACACAAGTAACCGCACAAGCCAACTATACCGTTGTTGAAGTCCCAACTTTCTCCATATTCGCTGATCACCGAGGAAAAAGAATAAAAACTTCCTTCTGTTAATTACATCATTTAAAAGCTTCCAGTCGTAACATTTAACCTTCTGCCTGCTGTGGTGGTCTTTGATACCAAATTTATGGTCACAGGGTTAGGCAGTAGGCAGAAGGTTAAAGTTGTCCTTGGGCCACACCAATTTGATTTGTTGGTTCTCGGTGAAAAAGAAATAAAGTAAAAAAACATCATGAAAGCAGCCTGTACCTTGGTGGCAACAGTTTCAGGCAGGGAATATAGTCAGATTCAAGTTTTCCTCCCTGTCTTCAGTTTTGCTAAATTTGTACTTAAAAAATGTGTGATAACCAAGGAATTAAATTGGTGTGGCTTTGTTTTACATTCTCAGTTTCAGGAACAGACTTACCGGTCAGATCTAAAGTAAGGGAAGTCAAACTTTATCTTCTTGAAAGTAAAGCTCTGGAACTACAACACAAAACAAGAAAACAGACTTTAGGCAAGATGGAAATGTCTTTAAAAAATAAAAGAAGAAGGAACAATTACAATGACATTGGAATAGTCAATTCTAAGGTGGAAAAATTCTACTTCAGCAGTATATCAGTACTACACATAAGTAAAATTTCTCTTTATAACTGAAAGGTACATTAAGTATTCAAAGTGATACGTCGGTGAAGGTTAGACGACCAGGTAATAAGATATGCCAAAAACAGTTGCTCAAGCAACTGGCTAATGATTTTGGAAACAGTCAGACGTTTCAGCTAGCAAGCCATATCAATCAATATCTATCAGCATATCAATCAATAGTTTGTGTTTGTAAACCTGCTTTTCTGAGAATTCCCCAGTTTCAATGACGAAAGGTAGTGGTTGCTAGCTGAAACGTCTGACCGTTTCCAAAATCATCTCCAGTTGCTCGAGTAACTGTTTTTGTATATTCAAACTGATATTAGTCTATAGTACAAATTCAAACCCCATTGGTGTTATACAAGTGCCTGCTGTTATACAAGTGGCAGTTGTAAAAGCTACATTTCTGTGTTTTTAATGGTTAGAATCCTCTCACCTGTGGAACACCTGCACCTATAACTGCCCCACTGTGGATCATGGGTCCTTCCTTTCCTACCAACAAACCTGGGCAAAAAGTATGAACTACATCTTACAACAAGACAAACTAGATAGAACTTAGACTCCATGAGATATAATTTTCAGTTTACCTTGGGTCCATGCATTGAAAACAGTGTGAGTTTTAGATTATAGGTCTAGAGTCTAGACTAATAACTTGTTTTCATTAATTGAACATGACAACCTAGGATTCAAACTCCAGAGCTACATGTATAGACACACAGTCTAACCACTGGACTATGCACACCGTTTGCTACTGACCTACATGTACATTTGTAAAGTGCAGCCTACTGGATCACTCATTTTGGTAAGCCCTTACCTCCGGCTACACTGAAGAGTACTCCTACAGCCTTACACACCAGTGTGAAGAGTCTCACTACTCTGGGCACCTTCACACCATTCAGGTAACATTTCACCTCAGGAATACCTGAACCTGCTGCCAGGGGCTGTACAGAACAAAAGCCCAACATGTAGAGCATTTAATCATTTGTACTGTGTTGCAAATGTAGTTATAGTCACAGCTATGATACATGAAGTTGATAGATGCCTTTACACCATTCAAGTAACACTTCACCTCAGGGATACCTGAACCAACTGCTTAATGGGCTAGAGTGGCAGTTTCTTTTCTGGGGGAGGGCCTTGTTGGGGGTGAGTTGTATCTGCAGACAGAGATGGAACGTTCTGTGCTACATCTCTTCCTCTAAACAAGACTCTGTTGGCTGCCAGGTCTTAAACTTCTCTCTGCTGCCTAACCTTGTAACCAATAGAAAATTGGTGACCAAACAGCTACTTCAGTGTGCTAAAAAGGTTATTAAAATCCACTGACCTCAGCTGCAGTGAAGAGCCCAGATATGAAAGTGAAGGTCAGGTTGAAGGCCAGGAGAACCAGGAGTGACAGAACCAGGTACCCCTTCACACTTAACAACTCTATACCTGCAAACAGATGGTTAAGGTAAAACACTCAAGAAAGGGTCAACATCATCATACAGTGACAAAACCAGGTATTACGTAACCCTTCACACACAACAACTCTATACCTGGATACAGATGGTTAAGGTGAAGCACTCCTTAAAAAAAGGGTCTAGTACCTGCATGAGTTAGCTTACAAATGTGCCCTGTGTGGCAGAGACTGCTATTCTTGTAGGGAATGTTCAGCCATAGCTGAAGCTGTAGGGATTTTTCACCATACAATTAAATTTTAAATACAATGTACACCCTAGTATCTTGATCACTATAATCTGTCAATGATGTGGGCCACCACTGCTGTCCACTCTTTCCTGTTCAGTGCTTCAGTCTTTTTGCTCCCTCCGAAGTGTATCCCATCTCCTGTAGGTCTCTCATAACTGTTTTCCACCATGTTATCTTAATAAATAAAAATAGAGCAACTCTATCTGCCACTAGGATAGATGAAAAACACACATGATACAATTTGCAAAGGATACAGTTTTTCACAATGCCAACTTTGAGACCCATAAGCTCCTTGATGACAACATCTATAAACAGTGCAACCTGCAGACAAAAGAAAAGTCCTGTTAGAACATAGTGCTGCTAGCTAGGTTACATGTACATTTTATTCTATGTAAGTACAATCATTAACGTTAATAATCAATAATTAGCTGAAAGATTACAAATTTAATCTGACTGGCATAATTGTAAATCCTTTGTTCAATTCTAGATTTGAATATGTGAATTAAATGAATACGTGAAGTTCCAGTCATTTATCTAGAACACTCTTGCAGTATGGTACTTACTAGCCCGGTAAAAATCCCTACAAATAACGTCACCACCCAACGGACAGCTTCATTTCTGCTACTTGTCTGTTGAAGAGAGGAAAAAAAAACAAACAGAAGATACATGTATATTCAATACAATAGATTGGAAATTTGCAATTGTATAAACCATTTCCATGCACAGTATATTATTATGTTTTTGAAAATTTACAAATATCTTGATCATAATAATTACCGTCAATGTCATTGAACAGATATGCTTCATGTTAAAATGAGCTAAAGTTTATACTGTATAATGTGTAACTGTTGTCAACAAAACTGTACTTATTGTCCTTACTCTTGAGTCTTGTTTCTCCAACATGTGGATGTATGGCTCATTGAAACAGCAGTCATAGTCCAGGCTCTGGGGAGAAAGTCAACATATAGCATTATTATAGTCATTCAAACACTTCCTAAAAACAGTTCCCTGTGTGTATGGTTGTGTATTATTCAAACTTCCCCTTAGACCTTAGTTCCTCTTCTCTCACTCACAAAATTAATGACTTGAATTTCAACCAGCACTACTTCAGATCTAGCATTTGTGGCAGGCTCTTTGTGGCCATTGTTATGCAGGTTGTCTTTACCATTTCTTGAAGGTTACGTGCAATGCAATGACAAATCTGGTAACCTCAAAATCATTAGCTGTACCATTGCATTTGTAATTGTAGATAGAGGGAAGTACAATTTTATGATTGTACTAAATGATAAAATTTCCTCCAACTTGGATGCCTGGTAACATTCTCCAACCATTATCAAGATATATCTGTTCGAATGAAAAAAATTCTGATAATCGAAAAATCTTTGTAATAAGCCAGTAAGGTGCCATACATTCTACACGTGTGCCAAAAAAACACAGCCATACTCTAAATAATTCATGAGGATGTATAGACAAAATTTGATTAGTCATGACACGTGTTACTGGTACATTATATTAGCCACACTACAGGGAATATAGTGCACGACAAACAGCCTTTTAAAATGTGGAGGCATTAGTACATAAAACTGATGAACCACCAGATACGAGACATTGGAAGAATCAGAGATAGCAGACTTCACCCCCTTACCAACCTTTGCAACCCTTCCAGTTAGAAAGACAACAACAGCTCAGTATATGTTGACAATGTTCTTTTGTGTATATTAGAAATCACATAAAAACATGCATAAACACACACAGATACAAGTGTTCCAAAACGAAATCCTAATTTTCAAATCAATGCATTGATCCAGCAAGTCTGGAACAAACACAACAGACACACCCCCTTGACCTAGTATTTGACAGCTGTCACGTTTATATGTCACGTGCAGAATACAACCTACAATTGTTTTCTCTGGCGTGAAAAATACAACAGTTTATTAGAAGAAATACACAACATTCGGACTACCGCACCGGCATACTAGTATTATGTAATAGATAGGAACAAACAAATGCGGAAGTCACGAGACTAGCTAGCAACACCCCCCTCCCTCTTTCCACACACGCACACACTGAAGACAACTGACGGCGTTTGCGGAATGATAACGTCAGGACGAGCGTGATTACGGCTCTGTTGTAGAGACCGAGAGTCATGAGACAGGAGCGGAATAATCACCAGTCCCAAACCACAACGTCACGGGACGTATAACGGTGCACATAATTATACGCGGTACCCATTCAAACGTCATATCGTACGAGGACAAATTATGAACAAACAACACTGTGCGCTGCATACGATTACTGCAGACTAGAACACTATTATCTTATAGAAGGAAATGCATTTATAATCCTACATGTATGCAATACGTAACTGCAAAATGAAAATCGGTATTTTTGTTACCTCGTAATCTTTCCTCGGCAGATGTTCCTCTTCCTCATGGGACCCTTCTCCCAAAAGGGTCTGCAAAAATAAGGCGGGAAAACACGATTAAAGCAAGCACGCGCCAGGAAATTGAGGTGGCAGATAGAAATAGACCTTGTGCGTGTCTTGAGGTGGATAAGAATGCCTTACCATTTCTTCAGGAGGCCTGGGCTCCTCGCCACGACGCCCGCAGCACCCAAAACACAACCGTGTGGCCGCCATGTTGGAATATAATAATCCCCCGTCATGCACTGGGGCGGACGGTGGGAACAGGTGGACTGGATACGGGACGGCTCTTTATGACGTGGTATGATTTTATTTCTCTAGTTATTCCGCACATTAATATTCATATATTATGCACTGCCTCGTGATTCTAGATGGACTGCTACTTGTGAAGTTGATCAAAATGTTATTGAATGCGTTTTCTACTTTTCATACTTTTAAGTTGCTAGTCCCGTAACTTCATACTTAATATAGCCGTGGACGACTCTGGTATTATCATGCAAAAAGGGTTACCAGAGTCGTCCACGGCTAACTTAATGTATATTTAATACATTAGAAATGGAACACATACTTAGGTATCGCTCGCAAACACACGCGCGCGCGCACACACACACACACACACACAAACACACACACACACACACACACACACACACACACACACACACATACAGACTGTGACGCAGACACACACACACACACACACACAAACACACACACACACACACAAACAAACACTTGCGCAAACGCACGCACACACACAGTATAGAACTCACGTGCACACATGATCACAGGAAGAAGCCAGAATCGTGACATGACCTTAAACTTTATTTGTCTTAGTCTGCAAAGTGCGAGTCTTATGTCATGGAATCCAGGCCTTTGAAAATTACATACGTTCTTTTTATAATTTTAGTCTACGGTAAAATACGTTCAGTCTATATAACCGGTAAAATACGTTCAGTCTATATAACGTTATATATAACGTTATATATATACTTTGCAGTACTGGTACTTAGTTCAACGTATATGCTACGTTGAAATAAATTAGCTGCGTTGACATACTTAAAGTCCACGTTGTAATACCCTAAATGCTACGTTGAAATATATCAAGGCTACGTTAAAAATACTGAAGTCTAGTGAGTCTAGATTCTGTAGTAACGATCCCTGTCTGTTCTATGTTAAAATACATTAAGGCTACGTTAAAATACTGAAGTCTACGATAAGTCTAGATTCTGTAGCAACCATCTCTGTCTGTTCACATCCTCGCACGGCGCCACGACCAGACCAGACTCCGTCTCTTCCAAACACCGGTCAGTCATCGGGTGGTACAGCACGGTGCTGTTCTGTAAAGGTAGATACAAAGTTGGTTATAGCAATGATGAGTAAACAGAGTTCAAAAACAATATTCTTTGCATGCAAACAGAACGCATTGGAGACAGAAACTTACCAAAGCAGTTAATCTTGGAAAGAGGAAAAGGAAAACAGAGAGGCTTTCAAAATGAGAAAATAAATGAAAACCATTATGGCACAGACAAGTTAATACATTAGGTAGATGGGGAAATAGGGATGCCTACATATGTCAACACATTTGGGCCCGAGAGACAACATGTCAGTGTTGAATACTATCCAAATGCAATCCTCGGCTACCTGAATCCCCCCACTATGTTAAACTGGCTCATGGCCAGATTCTGATACCTTTTGACCCGTCATTCTGCCTGCCAATCTTAAGCTTCCCTCACCCACGTGCTGTTAACCTACTCTGTCCAGACAAACAGATACACAAACCCACAGCTCAGCCACCCGAAACAATTCTTCCGTACCCGGGAATAATTAGAAGTCTGGAGTGTGAAAGTTACCTGTAGCACCCATCTCTCTTGCTTGGAAGGTTGGTCATTGGCGAACCTGTGTGCGCATGTCTTGGTGATGATGTCAGTGGAAGGAACCTTTTTAATTACAGCCGTCTGAAGGCACAGTTTCCCCTCCACCCCCAAACGAACCTCCCCGGCCCTGGTCAACTCCCAGTACTGAAGAGAAGAAACAAAGTAAATGTACAAGGTACAACTTATGGCATCTACTGCTAAATAGAATATAAAACAAATATATACGATGAGACGACGGGATGAGAATATATTGTCGGAGTTTCTAGTGTTTACAAATATGTTAAGAACTTTATGCATATGGTTTACTGTGATAGGTTCTTTTTTTTATTTCAACGTACAAGCAATACAATATTAGTGGTGACGTACTCAAGCAATATAGCTTTTATTCACGTCACCACTAGACAACGATGTGCACTTGGGACTCGGCTTTTACCTGGCTCCCTCCGTGTCCATGGCAGTCTACCAGCCTTGGCGGTTCTTTGGGATCTGAAGTGGCGTCCAGACACCTGTGGTTCTCCTTATTCTGGATCTGTGCGAGGAAGCGATTCTCAAGTAAATACAATGTGATTTTAATTTTTTTTTCAATATAGCGTTCTATTGCGAACAACCGTAACTTAGGCAACTGGACTGATTTTCAAAAGCCACCCAGTTGCTTGAGTAACAGTTGTCATGTATTCGGTATGTGTTAGGGGTGTATGCGAAACGCATAGCTAGGGAGTAAAGCAGTATAATAGTATAAGAAGTGATTTTTGTTAGACGTACCTGTCCATGTGCGACCGGCCGTAAATCTGGCACGTACACGTTAGAGTAGACGTTCTGCAGGTACCAGCTGAAGTCACGACAGTGAAGCGCCTTGCGGAGGATCTTCCGCGACGTCAGATCTCCTGCATCAATCTGGTGGATCGAGGTTAGAGGTAAGCTGAAGGCTAGCCAGTCATTTTGCTGATAGTTTGTGTATGCGAGATTTTGTTTGTGTGTGTACGTGTGTTGTGTGTGTTCATGTGTGTATATGTGTGCGCGCACGTGTGTGTGTGTGTTTGTTTGTTTGTGTGTATGTACATGTGTGTGTGTGTGTGTTTGTTTGTTTGTTTGTGTGTGTGTGTGTGTGTGTGTGTGTGTGTGTGCGCGCGCGGGAGTGTGTGTAGTCTATAAAAAAAGCGTGAAAAATTATATGCCTAATAATTGTTTTCATACACTGTTATAGTCGCAACGACAAACGTTAACAGATGTCTCTGATTCCCAAACATGGCTTGGTCAGTACCTTTAAATGTACCACAGCACAAAATCTTTCTTTAAACAATCTACTGAAAGTACCGAACCTTCAGGTACTCCGGGTGCCTCCTGTAGACGACGCTCTTGTAGTCGTCCATCCAGACCTCCGCCATCCGCTTGTTGTTTCTCGTCCACTTGTCCACAGAGGCGTGATACGGTGACGTCACTCGGAACACGTGACCCACGTGAGCACAGGGCACCAACTCGATGGTACCGCCGCATTGCCAGATCTGGATGTCAATGATACCAATCTTTTAAATTTCATTTAAATAATTACGTATCCGTCCAATTGTTTAAAATCCATAATAGCCAAACACAGGCATTTTACTACCAATTCCACTCTTTTCGAAGGTGCTGAGGCTTGGAGTCTTTTTGCAGTTTGTCACCTTAGTACGAATTGTTTGCCCATTTGTTTACACAGAATTGAAAGTAAGGTCAAAATCGAACCATTTAGAATATTTCACCTATGAGGAAGGCGGGAGAGGTCTGGAAATCAAGAATTTACCACCTAACCACAGAACTTTTTAGAAACTGACAGCAGCAAAGTATAGTTCTCCTAAGATAAGTAAATATCGTGACACTATTTTCCACAAGCTTTTATGCCAAACAGGATGCAGAAGCTTAAGCAAAAACGCATCACGCCACGCTACCCGGAAGGAAATCTCGATGTTTTCCCCTCCCCAGATCTCCATCCCGTCGTCGTACGCTCCCAGATGTTCGAAATATTTCTTATCGATGGCGAACACACCGCCAGGCATGGTAGGTGACCTGGGAATAAGTCACGAGTAAAATAGATTAAGAACGCCAATTGATGAACACATTCAAAGACAATGTGTTCATCAATTGGCCACTCAACCAGAAAAAAAAGGAATGCTGATAACAATATCATTAGATAAACTGCAAACAAAAGACATGAACTGAGTTTATGTCTTCAGAGAGTACCTGTCGTGAATGTTACAACTGTAGGACCTGTTGTATTCCACCTCTAAGGCGTTGCCAAAAAAATTACATATAACGACATTTATTATACCGTTCCAGTCATAAACGGGAACTATAGGATAATGTCATGGTGCTACTGACTTGATAGGGTCGATGATAGACTTCCTCTTGTTGAGTTCTATTTGCCGGACTATGTGCCAATCAAACTTCAGGTCTACCAGGTCCACTCCGCCGACCATCAGTGTTCCCTAAGATGCACACACCAAGCATGTTTAACAAGCTTTTTCCACACGTATATGTAGAGAAACACACGAGTGTTACTCGTTATCCTGCCACTATTTAGAAATATTAATATCAAGTACACTAAGGGTGGTATGATAGGCTGATCAATCTTGCCGTATATCTTAGATCTGTGTGCAATTGTTAACCTCGGAAAACCCTCTATCGTACGTGCATCTCAACGATGTCTGTGACCGGAACTTTAGGGACCACCCATTTCAGCACCAAGGACATCGCCCATCTCAACGATGTCTGTGACCGAAACTTTAGGGACCACCCATTTCAGCACCAGGGACATCGCCCACCTAGCTCACGATGTCTGTGACCAAAACGTTAGGGACCACCCATTTCAGCACCAAGGACATCGCCCATCTCACGGTGTCTGTGACCGAAACTTTAGGGACCACCCATTTCAGCACCAAAGACATCTCTCGGAGGGGCGCTACCACTGCCTACAAGCGTTACGATCTTCCCTCCAAACCTCTGCTTGGAAATTCGCAAACACCCACCTTCACCCCATGGAACAGGTAGGCGAAGTTGTCCCACCGGATCATGTCTATGACAGGCCAGGGGACGGTGGTGTGGTTCAGGGCGATACGCTCCAGTAGGGGCTCCAACCACCCCTCCATACACTCACAGTGCGAGTCTAGAAACGCCAGGACCTACATGTACGAAGATACGAAGAAGTAGGATATGGCGTTACTGTTGCACATGCATGTACTCTGTAGCTATAGGATTTTGAATTCAGTAGTATTAGTTATCATTATTTCATTTCAAACTAGATCTTTTGTTTCTGAAGAGTATGTTATTATCCAAATGTATATCTTGTTGTATGTAGTTCAGTTGCTGTATGTGTATTAGTTCATTTCATTCTGCTGAGCTGTAGAACGAAACTTGGCGCTACTATATCACCGATGGAGATCTGAATAAAACCAAACAGCCAAAATTTCCCTACCTCCCTGACATGTTTCGCCGAGGGGCGATTATACCGGTCCGGTTATTCAGATACAGATACAGAGGCTTGTGTTTTACGCCAAGGGGCGCTTATACCGTATATACACAGATACTATTACAGGTATTATTGCAGATACAGGTACTATTGCATCACTAATGCAGATCTAAGTAAGACCAAAGCAAGCCAAAATTTTCCGTACCTCCCCCCGGGCATGTTTGACGCCCAGCAGCCTGGCCCTGATGAGGCCCTGCCGGGTGGGACTGCGGATGACCCGGACCTCGGGCAGGTGGGACACGTACTCATCCAGCGGAGCCTGCAGGTGGTCTGGGGATAAGGGCAGGGATGTACGTAATTTAATAGCCATATGAAAAAGAAATTGCATATGTAAACCGATAGAACCTTCATTGACGTATTCTTTTATAGGTGCAAACATGCATTTTCTAAAACTATTCTTTGTTGTATTGTTATTGATTCCTCTGATATCAACCAGCAGAAGGCCATTCAAAATGCTTTGTTATTTTAATCGTAAAATGCACAATTTACTCTTCTGTTTATGACTGTTGACAGAACAACATCAGAATAACAAGTTGATAAAGTTTGAACCAGCGAAAGAATGTGGGCCAGGTAGATGTAAATGTACTCCTTAGCGGACCAACTCTCCTGGCATGGTATCTGTCTTTGGCCAATTTCTTCTCTTTTCAGCTGCTTCCGAAGCTTGGTAGAGGCTAATCATCAGGAATCTCAGAGGAAACAGGGTAGGATCCTTACCGAAATCGCTGCAGTCGTCCACCAGAATGACTTCCCGCAGCAGCTCGCTAGGGGTCCTCTCTAACACGCTGTGTACAGTGCGCAGCAGGGTGGACCACGCTTCGTTGTAGAAAATGATGATGACCGAGGTTTGTGGAAGGGGCCGGTAGTACTTCTTCTCGATACACCTAGTTGTTATGCCAAAGATATAAGATGACATTTTCAAAGGCGTGATTGGAAAATTACAATGAAGGAAGTATATGGCTTCCCAAAAATGATACCCGAAGTTTGTTATGACACCGGTAGTACCTTGGAACTTGAAGTTTGAATTCTATGTAACTGGAAAGCGCGTACAATACAAAGTGAAAAGGTAAGGCAACCCTTGTCATCCTTAGGTCTAAACCAAATCAACTACTATTCATAAACCATGAAATACTGTAAAGATTCTTTAGCTATATTATCGTACTATATCGCTGGCCAGAAAGAGGATAACTAAACCTCGAAGGTCTTAAACTGTGTGTCAACATAAATGTGAAACTGCCATACAGTGAAATTAAGTATGGAAATGGAACAGAAGCCACTGTACTAACAGCTCATGTCTGAGGTCCAGCAGACTGCGGTGGACGGATATCTTGCTGCTGGCCCACTCGTTAAAGGAGTGCTGCTTCAGCCCCAGCTCGTACGCCTCCGTCTCCTCCGGGGTGCCGGGGCGGAGCTCCACCTCCTTCCCCTCTTCCCCGGGGGCTCCCGGGTCCGCGGGGGGTGGCATCATGTGGGGGGACGGGTCAATGACCTCTCGGGTATCCTGACGATGGAATCAGGATGTCATGTTGTTATGCCTAGGCATAGCCTGGGTTCCAGACCCATAGCACACTGGATACAAAATATCTCAGTGAGCCTGCGCTCACTGAGATATTTTGTGTCCAGTGTGCTGCTTAGCCTGGGCATCTAAATATTGATCGCGCTTATTTGATCTTTACAGTCCCTTGTTGTGACCCAAAACATGGCTCGTGTGAACCTTATTTTGAGGTGAAAATTGATAAAAAGTAGATAAAAATATGCATTTTTGTAAGTTTAATCTTAGATTTACATTCACTATTTTGTATCATCACTCACCTTCTCGTCATCTTCATCGGTGTCGTCTTTTTCATCAACTTCATTTGCGTCGTCTTTCTCGTCTTTCTCGTCTTTCTCTTCTTTCCCATTAGAATCGCCTTCACCCTCGCGTCCTGCGTACCTCAGCTTAGCGTTGTGGACGTTTGGTGCGAGGTGGCCATCGAAGCTGAAGTCGTCCTTGTCGGGTAAAAAGTCCCCCCATGCGTTTTCGCTGTGAATTGCATGTACGGATTTCCCGTCTTCGGAGACGATGACCTGCCACAAGGTGACGCCGACAGACAGCCAGATCAGCGAGACGACGAATATTACCTTCAGGACTTCTTTGTTCGAAGTGGTCCGTTCGGCCGAGAAAGTCATGGTAGGTGATCCAAGATGGCGGAAAGGCGCGCCTTTGCGAATTGATAGTAAAATGCCGCCTTTTGAGCTAAATGCTAATTTATGGCCCCTTTTTTACAAGAACTGTGTTTTCAAAGAAAATTGGCATGGAACCTGAAATAGAGAGAGAACTGTAATATTGGCGTAGATTCGTTACAAATGTTATATGCTACTGAAATAGCGCTGAGGTCATACGTGGCAATACGTCCGGATGTAACCATTATGAATACAAACATAGTCGGTATATATCTCACATATAAAATACTAGTACATTCACTAGTACTAACAGTCTTACTCTTGGTTTTTGATGGTCACATATATTTGTTAATAATAAATCTGAGACTATACCGTATTTAATTCATAAAGCACCGAAATGCAGCTAAAGAATTACACCATTGAACGGAGAGAGGTCTCTTATGTACAGGTATCTGTCGCTGTGTCACTTTATATATAGTCATTATGCGCATGCTTTATACAATTACCCATTTCATGCCATACAAGGTAAATCTTCGAATTATAGAAGCCAAAATAGATTCTTAAACGTTGAAGGCCATTCAATGGCCGCATTATGGTTGTACTTTCTAACCACCAAATTCCCACCTTACCTTAGACGACTCGGAGGCTTGGTGACCACCTGTCAGATTCCTTTGGCATGATCTTGTCTGTAAAGTCAGCGTCCTTAGAAGTGGTGCAAGATATATTTGATGAACAGGGCGTAGAATTATTTCGCAGCCTGTTCCAAATATTGACTATTCAACGCTAGAGGACAACAGTATCCGTCAACAAGCTATACCCATACAAATGGTGTACTGGATATTGTTTATATCAATTATGTAAAATTACAGGTCTATTTATGAATCTTATGGTTTTGGATTGTTAATGTTGTGTGTCTTGCCATAAAGTTATCTGCTAATCACACTGGGGCAGCGATATGCATATTATGATTACTAGTATCAAATTACATGTCAAAATACATAATGACGCCAGGTGTCGTTTTTAAGCTACATAGAATGCAAAACACTGCCAGATCGTATTACAAAGTTTAAAGTTCAGTTTTCAAGACCACCCTTGTGTTCAAGTCAGCACTAGTAGTAAGCTACAACGTGGCTAAATACTGAAACGTTAGACAAATTCTATGTGTTCCTACTCCTGTACGCGTGGACCAAGAACTCCAGACATCCGGCATTGATTCCGTCCGCCAGTGTATCGTGATTCGTTTGCGTGAACGAACGTTTGCTGAAGACCTGACAACCTCGAACGTGGGAGAAACCCTGACCCATGATAGCTCGTGTATTGGTTCTAGTAATGCTAGAATACTGACTTAAAGTTCTGTGATATTTCATTTGTGACCAATCGTTCCTAAAGCCGAAGGACCTGTATCAAAATGGATGAGTTTGGAGGAAATCTATTCCTCTATCCGCACCCTGCAGCTGTAGGCACGGTGTTTCAACTATTGAACACGAGACTCCTCAGTCGTGGGGCGGTTCGTTTAGCCGCTGCTTGTGGATTCGGATACTTCGGCTACAGATTTGTAACGCACGAGCTACCGAAGAGAGTTGAAAGCATCGTCGCTGTATACAAAAGCATCGCAAGGCTACCGCTGTTTTGTCCAAAAGAAACTGACATAAACATAAGAATAAGGAGTACTCTTCGTTTCACCAGTTGCATCGTCTACAGACATTTCTGTGGCTCTGACATCAGAAAACTGTGGTTGATCACTGTGGACGTGTTGACACTATTTGTTCTGTACGGATTGTGGCCTTCTTCGTCAAGTGGAAGCAGTGGAAGTAGTAGAAGTAGTGGAAGCAGCGAAAATAAGGTACGTTTTTCAATTATTTGCGCTAACTATTCTCCACTGCCCATAGCTCATACCTTGAAGCGTGCGCTGTGTTTGTGCGCAAGCAAGCATGTCTGTAACTGTCTGGGTTGGGAGGCCAAAGATTGTATGACAAATGCTATATAAATACATTAAGTATATAGGTAGTGTTTTTATTCATTTATATATTTCATCATAAGACTACTGTGAACTCCTTCAACCCATCAAAGTTGATTTCCAATATGGCCCAGCATATACATAACAAAAGATGTTATATTCTAGCTTATGAGAACAAAACAATGTATTCTAGACTTGTTCCTTAGCAAAGGCATTGTGGGATAGCTGAACTCCTCCGTCACCATCACACACTTGCTAAAACAAACAATCATTGCCATATCTGACGAGTCACCATTTTGTAGCATTTTTTTCATGGCCAATTTATATGGAATTCCCACTTTACTTAACGTTTTCTTGGCCACGCGCCAGTCTATCTACTATATACATAGCATTTGCTCAACCGGTATTACGATTTACACATTCAGCATACTGAATGTCGGAAATATGAGACTGTTCAGGATGATTAAAGACGTGATATTATTCATACCCCGTCTAATAGTCTGGATTCTAAGAGTCTGGAATGATGCTTGTCGTCCAATGGTGAGGACATCCGTTCCTTCACATTTGCTAGCTTAGTGGCGGATAAGATGCCTCAAGAGAGGCTAGGGGTGCTATGCAAGATACAGAAATTTCTTGGATAATTTTTTTTGCAGAATAACAATAGGCCGGAGGCGTAGAGGGCGAGAGTATCAAATTTCTCTGGTCTTACATCTATTTGCGCCTTTCATTCCTCATAGAAATACCTTCAATATCGTGTAAACTGGAATCTTTATAATTGAAAAAGTCTGACTGAAAAAAAGGACCGCCATTTTTTTAGATTGCAAGCGAAGACGTGAGTGGACGCAACAGATTACAATAGTTTTTACTGTTTCCACGACTGACCTCGTCAATACAAAGTACACTGCCTAGATCGCTAAAAGTCTAGTTGTGTCATCAAGCATTTTCAGGCTGTATTGCTTAATTGTTGTCATGTTGCGTACGGTTATTACGTTGCCTGTATTATTAATTTAACAAGACCTTAACTGACAACACCATAGGAAAAAAATATGGAGGGCACGTATAGCTTGAGATATGATAACCGTACCTCATTTTGCTACAAATAAAATCCACTAGTACTTTGATCTAGATATCGATCTGGCGATATAGTTTTGTCGCAGAGCTAGGGGCGGAGAGTTCCCATGGAATTTGACCATGGTTGGGTGAAAGGTCCAGTTTGTTCTATCAACATTTTTACTGACGGGGTTGGCCATAGTACAGAATCAGTCTATAAATGTCAATCAAGTTGGTGACGCTTATCAGACAAACACTGATACAGCCTGGGGCATTATAGCAGGCCAAATGGTTTGATCAATGACAGTAAAACCTGATTCAAAATGACTAGTGTTGTTGGCACACGGTGGTGCTTAGCTAGTTAAAAGTACAATTACAACGCTCTCAGGATAGTCTGTGGCTTTATTCACTTTATCGAGTGGCCGCTGAAAATTCCGTGACCATGGGGAACTGCACAATCCCTTTATGTTTTCTTTACTTGTTTTCCGCTTTTTTCTCGACTTTGCTGGCTGTATTTACAGTTGTTATCCTGCTGATCATGATTTACCGTTATTGTTGTTTGAAAAGAGAACCAAAATGCTTTACCGGTGACACTCTTCAGCCTTCTGACAGTCATAGTAAGGTACGTAGTGACATCTAGAGGCTTGCCTGTCAGTTCATGTACTTATAACATATTTTGTTCTTCTCAGTTTTCCACTCTAGCTCTTTTGGAGTTATCGTACTACCAACTGCTCTCGTTGCCGTTCTTTCGGTTGTTTACAGAATCCAGGGGTTTCATTTCCTTTAAAGCACAATCTCTCTTTGTGTCACAATCGGACTTCGCATGTCTTCACCTAAGTAAGACCCTTTTTTACAAGACAAACTTTCAATTATATACCCACTAACAGCCGTCATGACACCACCCCGTTTAACCATTTCAGTCACCGGATGTTGTGGACGGCCTGTGCGTGATAGCGGCAGACCAGAAAACCCTATTCACCATCGCTGAGCAGGTCCGAGAAGCTACAGGTGGTTTCTACAAGGTTGAAAAGCATCTCGTCACAAACAGGAAGGCCGTGGCCTACCTGCCGATCTACACTCGCGCCATCTGCTGTGTTCGCAACGCAGAGAGGAACATTTCCTTCAACGACCAGGGCGAACCAGAACCGGACGCAGACCTGGGATTTCGTGCCTTCCACAGGATGGATTCTGAGCAGAAGACTTCTACAGGTCCCAGCGGTAAGGGTTAGACTTGGAACATATACTGGTGGATTTAGATTGTTAAGCATGCCAAAATTAAAACTTTGATATCTAATATTTTGCTATAACAAACCTCCAAAATTTCTTTATTCCCCGCCCATTAATATTACACATTGTTACATAAAATTAGTTCAGCCCATTGTGGCTATACAAAATAACAATAACGTCCATAGATCGCTCTTTAATTTGGTTCACTTTGATGTAATCAGTTGACTTGCTGATTCCGTGTAAAAGGTATCCATTACATTCCCTACCCACAACTTGACCGCCTACTTAAGAAGCAAAATTGTATTTTAAGCAAGATCTTATTTTTCTCACTTCCTTTCTTGTGTCTAATTTCTTTCAGGTGTGATCATTATTTTAGTCAATCACGCCAACGTTAACAGTCAGGGTCCTCCCGAACTGTGCAGCATGGAAGACACCGCTCTGAAAGATCTATCACCACGGCTGCGGAAACTAGCGGAAAGCGGCCGTTTTCTTACCGTCGATCGCGATAAGAAACTCAATGCAAAACAAAGAGCAAAACTGATCGACATGTGTACTTGAACCAAACACTGACTTGATAATGGGAGGACTTTTTTTACATTTTATCAGGACATTTATCTTAGTAGCCAAGGCAAAATGAGCTAACATGTCAGTATATTGTCATGAACAGTTTTGAGTAACTTAGTGATGCCACATTTAGACGTTTATACTTTTGTAAGATAGGGAAAATTAATTACAAAATTAGGTCTGATCTATTGTAAAAACAGTAAGGCTCGTTCTTGACGTTACTTTCCATTCACCGAATGTTTGGCTGAAAAAACGCATGTACATATTGCATTTATTACTTATATTGGGGAGATTGGCAATAAGCATGTGACGGAACAATAAATGAGCTTAAGAATATAATGTAATCAATGCTGCTGATATTTCTCACCCGGTGACTTGTGTTTCTGATAACGTCCTAATCTGACTTATCTACAGTTATCTGACAGGTTGACGGTAACTCCAAACATGTCTGATTGCTGTTATGTCAATAGCACGCACACATAATGGGATAGTCTTGATAAGGTACGATACATTGAAAATCGAAGGATCAACGTTAAGAGTCATTGCATGAGAAAACCAGGCAGAGGCCGAAAGATGGGGGTCGGCCAAATCGACTCATACTTTGTATGTGAGATAGTTATGGACAGCCATATATTTAAAACCCTCCAGATATTTTTCGTTATGGAGATCTGGGGACCCCCCTCCGAGAGCCTCCAAAATCAGGTAATTTATGGCTGAAAATTACTGAACTTGCGATGGCTGCACTGATGATTCTAATAAAGATATGGATAAAACATTTATATTAACACATAGCATAGCTTTTCTAGTTTTACAGACCCAAAGTTCAAGAGGACACCTTAAAGTTAAGAGGGTGTGACAGGGGGTTACCTGAACCAATGAAAGTAGAATTTTCATCTCTATGCATTTTAGTCATCTTTAAGGCGCATTATCTCACATGGGCAGTGGCTTTGGTGAAAGGTTTTACTGTGGTTTGAGAGAGGAACATCTACTGATTCAAAAACAAGCGTCGTAAATTTGGGCCATACATAACGCGAGTCGTGACTGAGGGGTCTTTATGGGGGATTTTCGGGTTTTGGACTATACTAAATCAGGCAATGACTTCTCATTAAAAACTAGAAAAGCTATGCTATGTGTTAATATAAATGTTTTATCCATATCTTTATTAGGATCATCAGTGCAGCCATCGCAAGTTCAGTAATTTTCAGCCATAAATTACCTGATTTCGAAGGCTCTCGGAGGGGGGTTCCAAAACTCCATAACGAAAAATACCTGGAGGGTTTTAACTATATGGCTGTTCATAGTTCCCCATACCTATCTCACAAACAAAGTTTGAGTCGATTTGGCCGACCCCCATCTTCCGGCCTCTGCCTGGTTTTGCCTGGTTTTCTCGTGCAATGACTCTTAACATTCATCAACAAACGCAAGGTGCTTTCTTGCAAAGGTATATCTATATATGTGTAGCAAGTAATTTTTTCCATACATCCTCGTACATGAGTTCCTTTAAAGGTATCAAACACATGCATACGCAGTCCACTGCAGTGCCGTAAGGAAACGCAGGTACACCATTTGATTTATGCTGTTGACACAAATACAGACCCACGCCACACGTGTTGTTGTACTCTGTTGCTGCCTGTTAAAGGTCTATCTGTCGGATTTTAAAGTGAAAGGTCCATGTCCTATCCTATGTGCTATAATCTTGACCACGTGCAACCGTGCTGGTCTGTCATTGGTTCTTTACGTTGTAAATTGCAATCTCAGCTTTATACATTGGCATTGGAAGTCAGCGGCACAAGTTCCGAGCGCGTTTGTGCGTCATTTACTTCAGAACGCAGTTCGAGACACTCGATAGTAGTACGTAACACATTGCACAATGGCGCAGGAACAGGAACCGAATGAGCTGGAGCTGGCGGAGCTACGTAACAGAGTAAAACGCCGTGTAACCAACCTGCTCCGCAACAAGCCTGATGAAGAGAAGTTCAACGTCCTCGTAGTCGGCATGCCAGGCTCTGGCAAATCGTCTTTTATCAACTCGATGAGTATGGCCGTCACTGGAACTTGGAAGGAAGTCGCGCACTACAGTAAAAGCAACAAGAGTGTGACGAGATGCCTGGAGGGCTATGTCATGTTTGACGATAAGTAAGTCGTTTTTGCCTTCGACTGAAGGCTATGCCTTCGGAGAAGGCTATGAAATCGCTTTTGCACTGTTTGGCAGATTAGGCACGATAACTCTTGAAGGCAAGGTCCGAGGTTCACGATTTTTGGCAGGCAGGTTGATTTGGGGGTGGCCATTGTCAAGGCTAAAAATGGGCTTCGTGGGGGGTTCCTAAGTCACTGTAGTTGACCTTGGTTTTTGGTGTTTTTTCCTTGTCATCAAGATATCTCGAGTATCCTTAAATGGATGTTCATGATTTTTAGTGGGCAAGTTACCGTTGAGAATGCCGAGGTCAAGTTCAAATATGGGCCCCGTGGGGGTTTCTATGTCACTGCAGTTGACCTTTGTTTTTTGTGTTTTTTCTTGTGACCAAGATAACTCGAGAATCTTTAAATGGATGTTCATGTTTTTTAGTTGGCAAGTTACCATTGAAAATACCAAGGTCAAGTTCGGATATGGGCTTCGTGGGGGGTCCCCACGTCATTGAATTAGAAATTACTGCAGCGAAACTTCTGGTTTTTAAATCTCGTGATCTGGACGTGCTAGGGTCATGATTTTTAGATGGTACGTAGCTCTTGTGCTCACAAAAAAGTGCCATAAGTTTGGGTCCCGTAGCAGCTTGTTTGGGCAATGCAGAGGCATTTGTTTGAAAATGTTTGAAGTAGGATAGCTCAAGAACCGGTTGACGGATTGTTGTTATTTTTGGTATCTCGGTAGCTTAAGTGATGCTTGACCTAATTAGATGACAATTATGCAAATCAAGATCTAATTTACATAATTAATGACAAAAGTCTATAAATCTGCTGCGTTCCATAATAGAACAATTAAAAATGGTGGCATATTTAATCAAGAGGAAGAGGAACATTAACAGATATTAATTATGTAAATTGTGACCCAATTTGATTAATCGATAAAAGAAATCTAAATGTCTTTTATACTGCACTAGACCTTTTTGGTTCCCACCCTCTGCGGATTACATTGACTTATGCAAACAAGGATAGCTGGAAAAAATTTCCTGTTTGTTGAAACAACAGATCCCTTGCAAAATTGGCGAAGTGGGAGGTCCGTACGTTGCTGTAGTGGGCTTTTGGTGATTGTTGGTTAGTTTGTCAGTAGTTC